CAGCTGTTAATGCAGTTCTTAATGGTGGTACAGTTTATCGTGAATCAAAAGAGAGGGGAATCAAGTTAATGACACTTGAGAGATATGTAAGGAAATGTCAATTAAATACAAATACAGTCTGCAAACCTAACTTCATTACCATGCAAATCTTTACCAACAAAGAAGAACATCTTTATCAGATTATCTTATTATCTTATATAATTGTCAACCAAAATAACACAAAAACTTGCCTATGAATTTGCAATGACTCTTTCTAAGCGCATTCCTTAATCGTGGAAAAGTTAACAAATTGCTGGGAAACAGTGGCTTCATAGTTTTATGTTACATAGGAATGAGTTATCTTTACGAAATCCAGAAGGTACTAATATGGTACGAGCAACTGTTTTTAAATTTTATACAGTCAGAGAATTTTTCACCAATCTAAAAGATGTTCGTCTATGACACAAGTTTCAGCCACAAAACATATATAATGTTGATGAGACAGGTCTCACAACTATTCAAAAGCCAGTTAAAATAATTGCTAAAAAAGGAAATAAACAAGTTGGAAGGATAACTTCAGCAGAAAGAGGCACATTGGTAACAGTTTGTTGTGCAGTTAATGCAATAGGAAACTTAATCCCTCCATTTTTTTTTCTTCCAAAAGTTCATTTCAAAGGAAGTATGATAAATGGTGGTCCACCTTGATGTGTTGGGGTTGCAAACCAATCTGGTTGGATGAATGTTGCAACGTTTTTAGAGTAGATAAAACATTTTGTTCAAAATGTGAAATATTCACTAGCTAATCCAGTGCTTTTACTTCTTGACAACCACGAGAACCATGTTTCAATTGTGTGTTTAGATTTAGTTAAAGAAAATGGCCACACTATGCTGTCCTTTCCACCACATTGTAGTCACAAGTTGCAGCCATTAGATTGGTCAGTTTATAGACCACTGAAACGTTATTACAATGCAGCCTGTGATAATTGTATTGTATCTAATCCAAGACCAATGACCATATATGGTATAGCTTCAGTTGTAAGGAAAGCCTATGCACAAGCTTTTACTTTGTCTAACATTTCTGCATGATTTGAATCTATTACTGCTAACCCATTTCTAAGTGTTGTTGATCCAGTTTCTGCTATTGTTCATGCCCCAGCTTTTAATCAATCATTGATGTCATCCTATATCTGACCCTGAAAGTCAACTATCCAATGTTTCTAATATCTCTCATCAAGCAAGTCTAGCAAAAATTAGGCCATTTCCAAAAGCTGGATCATGAAAATCCATTAAAGGATGTAAACATCAGCGTACTAGAACACTCACAGACACTCCTGTTCAAAATGAGTTAAATAAACTTCAGGAAATAAAAAAAAAATATCAGTCAAAAAGAAAAAACATGAAATGCAAAATAAGATCTTCATGACAAGGAAAAGAAATCTTGAAAGTAATGAAAATAAATACGTTGAGTTTCAGTAAAAGATAACATTTTTTTCATTGATTTTTTCTTTTTTTGAGAAAGATAAATTTGTAGTAAAATTAATAATAACTTTATTGGTTTTTATTATAGACATTGTTTTGATGACTTAAAAATTATTCTTATACATTTACATAATTACGCATGATACATAATTAACGCAGCAGCTAAATTCTAATTAAGAGGCGTCAGATAAGACAAAAACAAAAAGACTGAAGGCTAGGAAAATGTTCGCAAGATGCTTATTTTTGTGGCGATTAGCCCTGCAACAGAGAAGGCCTCTCTGCTTCAACACTTCTTGGGAGAAAGGTCGAATGGTACAATATTTGAATTTTATTACAAATAATATTTTATCCAATATTTGAATATATGTTACGAATATTTTCTTCTTGCAAATAAACTACTTCTTTCCTCGCAATACTTTCAATAGCTTTCCTATTTATCTTCTTAGTATCATTTTACAATATAATTTATTTTTTAAACTTCTAATCGAAGCTATTCTTTTAACGATAAATTTATTTCAGTATTTAATTTTTGAAGTGGCGATGAAGCTCAAGGTACATTGACTACTAATTAGTTTTACTAACTTTGTTAAATATTCCGTTATCGTCAGCTTTACTGCTGTTACTATTCAAATTGATTGGGTCATCAAGATACTGTAAAACATCTAACATTATACTTCATCTTTCCTTTATTTGTAATATTATTTCATTCTTAAGCTCGTTGCTTAATAAAGTGTTTTGCTCTAGTTCGTTTAACATAAATTTTAATGCTATATCAGCTTGTAAAAATAAACATCTTTGCAACACAATTCTTCTACAGCAACTTTTAAAGGCTGCAAGGCTGATATTATGTTTGATAATAAACTAATATTGTTTTTGCGGAATGTGATTGAAGGCTCTATAATAATTAAACTTTTTTTTTTTTTAATATAAAAATTTGTATAAAATTTGTTACTTTATAAAAACGTCCCAACAATATTAGTAGGCTACTCATACTCGTTAAAGTGCCCAAAATAAAAGAAAGTTGCTGACTTAATTCCCCGTAGTATTTAAAATTTCTTCGGTGATAGGCAAAAGATTTTAATAATTTTGCGAATTTTTGCTATAAGCTGGTTATTACTTGCATGCCAATAATCTGATCATAGCTCTAAACTACTAATATCTTCTTCTTCCTCGTTGTTCAAAAAATATTCTTGTTCTATAAAAGTTAATTTTTCCTCTTCTCCTAAATTTCTTGACAAACAAAAATTATATTTCTCATAGTGAACTTTGAATTTTGCTAATCGAATGCCATGCACTAAACAAAAATTATGATTAGCGCTAATTACCGATGCTCCATCTGTCGTAATTAAAACTACATTGTCTAAAGAAATACCAAATGTTTTAAGTTTAAAAGGGTAATTATGTACTGTGTTTGCAGGCATGCATGCATTCCACGTGTACTGCCACCTGAAGCTTGAACTGTTTTTAAACATTTCTTTCGTTGACCTATACTTCCCGAATAAAATATTTCCATGTATTCGCATAAAATATCTCAACGGTGAATTTTTAACAAAAAATTAAAGCATTAAAGTTTTCAATTTTTTATGAATGAAAAACATTTTATCCATGACTGAAAAATATTTCAATCATGACTAAAAACATAAACACGAAAAACGATAAAGTACCCAGCAAACGTTGTATATCGGATTTTTAGTGAATCTATTATATAAACATTTTGAGCAATCTACACTGTTAAAAATTCCCGTACTTTTACGGAATTATTTTCCTTAATTTGTATGGAAACTACCAAATGAACGGATACTTTCCTTCTTTTAAAAAACACGGAAATTTCCGTTGGTATAAGGCTTTATTATGGAAGCCGAAGTAAAATTTTAGCATACAAACTTGTTACATTAAAAAGCAATTATTGATTTTTTAGCTAGCGCGTTTTTTAAATATAAACAATTCTAGTGTATGTTTATATATATATATATATATACATATATATATATATATATATATATATATATATATATACTCATATAGTGTCGCTTTAAGAGCATTTTAATGTAAAAAAAGTCTCTTACGACTACAATTTTAATTACTCGTCTCTTAAGCTGTTTTTGATTGTCGTCGAAATGTCAAAGCAATTAATTTATGCGGAAGTACATTAAATTTAATTGTTTTTTAACAAATTTTTAAAAAACCGCAATTATAACGACTAGAAAGTTTTTTTTAATTAGTGGTGTTTTTGTTATTGATTAAATAAAAAACATTTTTTAAACATGCGTAAATGTTGCTACATCGACTATCTTATAGCTTGACTCGCAACGGAGTGCTGCTACATCGACTGACAAATAGCCTGACTCGCAACGGAGTGCTGCTACATCGACTGACAAATAGCCTGACTCGCAACGGAGTGCTGCTACATCGACTGACAAATAGCCTGACTCGCAAGGGAATGCTGCTACATCGACTGACAAATAGCCTGACTCGCAAGGGAGTGCTGCTACAACGACTGACAAATAGCCTGACTCGCAAGAGAGTGCTGCTACATCGACTGAGGGTTTGGTTTGGCCAGGCAGTCTATCAATTAAAAAAAAAAATTTAATTTTTAAAACTTTTTCTGGTCTAGTTTATTAACGCGCTCTTTAAAACTACAGTTTATGGGAAATATTTTTTGATGCTACGCAAGAGACATGCAAGACTATATATATATATATATATATATATATATATATATATATATATATATATATATATATATATATATATATATATATATATATATATATATATATATATATATATATATATATATATATATATATATATAATGATATAATATATATAATGATATAATATATATAATGTTATAAATATAAAAATGATATAAAAATGATATAAATATTTTTAATAGACATTTATATATATATATATATATATATATATATATATATATATATATATATATATATCTATTAAAAATATTTATATCTTTTTTGTGTTCACATATCTTTATATTTAAATAAGAAAGCACTCAAAGGTGTAAGAGTTAAAAAGTATTATAATTAATCATTAAGTTTATTATTTATATTTAGAACAAGAAAAAAAAAAAAGTATTTTATTTCAAAATTATAAAACTGTTTTATACTTTTTAAATATGTTTTATTATAGTCTATCGAAGAAGATATTCTCAAGAGAAAAAAAAAGAAGGTATTTAAGATAGGTAATGTAATTTTGTTTTAAACAATTTTTAACTTAAGCATAAACAAAAAAAAAATTTTTGTTCATGCTTAAGTTAAAAATTATTTCATTGATTTCATATATTTTTTTTTTTTTGTGATGACAATGGACTAGATAGGTAAAAATTATTTCATTTATAAATTATTAATTTTCTGTTATATTATAAGTAACGTTTTATAATTTTTTTAGCTTGCTAAAGGTTAGACCTAAGTATGTATCTTTATTAATAATTTTTAAATTTTATTTTTGAAATGGTTTTATATTAAATAAAAATAATAATTTGATATATTAAGTTTTCATTATAGAACAAAAAAGAAAACTTGTGTTTTATTGTTTGATTGTTGAGTTATTTTGTAAGTAAATTTAGTAATTAATTATTAAAATTTGATTTTAAAGAAATTGTAATTTTATTTAATAATATAAAAAAATCTAATTTTAAAATTGGGAGTCATGGCATATGGCGCTAACAATGGCATAAATAGGAAATTCTGTTTTTACCATTACAATGACAAACAAACTGAGATTGATTACTTTCCACTTTAAAATCTCTATTTGTATCATACTTCAATTTAAGTTTTTATTTCTTGTAGGTATTTATTTATTGCTCAAAAGAGTTTTTAACTTTATCCAGAGTTGTTTGTTGTTTGGCTTTTGTTAAACCACTCATATTGAGTAACAACTTGAAATTGACCAAAGCACGTAATGAGTGTTTTTTATAATTTATTACTTTGTTAAATATTAAAATCTTTCCTTACTCAAACACTTTTCGTTTTTATTTTAGATTTAAAGTTGACTCGAAATGGAAAAGAAAGGAAAGACTGTATTTTTGTGTATTTGGATTGATTTACTTATATTTATTATTTAACTAATATATATTACTAAAAGATTTTTTAAGTATATCTATATTGTAAATGTATATAGGGATATGTAATATAATTATATTATTATGTGCTTGTATATACTTTATCAAAATTGTAAATTTTTTTAAAAGTCTTTATAACTTTACTAATTTATTATTTATACGTGTATTTGCTGTTGAAGTGAAATGTAAATCACGGAAAAATATTATTTATGTAAATCAAAGAAAATTTGTTTTCAGAAAATATTTTCATAAATATACAATTGTTTATATATATATAATATTTGCTAGAAATACTTTGATTGAATTTTCATATAAACGGAATATAAACTGCAACATTACTTTTATTAACGGAAACTAAGTTGTTGTAAACTGAGTTGCTGCAACCTTTTCTGTTGTTTAACGGGAAAAGCTTGTTTAATTTAAACGGAAGTATCCGTTTATTTACGGAAATGTTCCGGCAGCTGCCGATGACCAAACTACCCGTTATTTAACGGAGAAAACCCATCGTATTTTAACGGAAAAAATCCGTTTGTTAACGGAAACATCCGTTTACATGTGATGGGTTTTTCCGTAAAATAACGGATATATATATATCCGTTATATTAATATATATATATATATATATATATATATATATATATATATATATATATATATATATATATATATATATATATATATATATATATATAAATATATATATATATATATATATATATATATATATATATATATATATATATATATATATATATATATATATATATATATATATATATATATATATATATATATATATATATATATATATATATATATATATATAACTCACATCAATGTAATTATATATTGTGACTATAGAGTAGCCTAGCCACAGCTTACAAAAAGTTTTTGTTAAATAAATATCTTTTAATCTTGAAAAAAAATTGAATACTAATATCAGTAAATATTCTAAGAAAGATCAACAGTTCATCTACCTGAAAAAGTTAAAATTTAAAAATTACGCTCAAAATTTTTTTAAAAACAATTTGAAAACAATAAACAAAACACACTAAAGTAGCTATTGCTGTAATTACATTTTATTCTTTTTTAGAGGTTTTATATTTATTTGGAAACATTTTATCGTGTACTAGAAGTTACTTTTAATATATTTTCCTTATATTAAACGGCTAAATGTATATTAAATAGCTAAAAATTAGAAAATTATCAATGAGATTTTTTTTAATATTCGTTATTCGTAGCCATTTCCAAAACTCTTAAAGTATGCAAACTTTACTGCGCTTGCGTATAATAACTTTCCACTTATTTAGTGTCTGAACGACCGTGAAAAACAGACACGTCGCCCCCCACCTTCCTTTAAAATCTCTTTGGAACGGCCCTGAACTCACTCTTGGTCTGCGAAGCGGATTATGATGCTCTTTAATGAGCTGAACTCGTCTTCGTGGGTCTTGGTAATATGGTCTCTGTATGGCAGCTAGCAGGATGGGGATAAATCACAATACCAAATATATGTTAGGAACCAAATTTAAAATAAATTAATAACTTATAATATAAGTTACTAATTAGTTTTATTCCTTACATCAGCACAATATCTGTTATATATCAATATAACTCGATATCCTCTGCCTTTCACTCGAATAATCTTCGTTCTTCTAAAACTCACTCTTGGTCTGCGGGTTATGATGCTCTTTAGTGAGCAGAACTCGTCTTCACGGGCCTTGGTAATGTGGCCTTTGCATGGCAATTAGCTGGACCACAGTACTTAACATTTGTTTGGAACGATATATTTCTTTACGATGCGCGTGCTGTATAAGCGTGTTTATACAATTACTGTACATGAAAATGTATATACATTTACTGTATTCGATTAAATATGACTCGTTTTAAACTTCAAGCTTTTTTATTTACAAAACAAACAAAAAAATACTTACTACAGGTTCTACTTTGATAATAATAATGATTTTATTTAGTTTAACAATTGATTTTTTTGTCGAAATATTCACTTTTATTGAAATTGAAGTAGAAGGCCAAATATTTATAATTAAAAAAAGTATTAAATAATTCGAAATCAGCATAAAAAATTAATTAGAAAAAAGTGACTAAACTACACAAAATCCAAAAAAATTTTAATTTTTGACCCCTCTCCTTCCCCCTAATATATATATATATATATATATATATATATATATATATATATATATATATATATATATATATATATATATATATATATATATATATATATATAATAAATTGACATTTTGTATTAGCGAAATATTTTTAACAACATTTAGCCAATATTGAAATAAATATTGTATCAATATTGCACTAATGTTGATTGCTACTTGGGTTCAAGAAAGAAAGTAAAAAATTTAACTTAGAACAAGAAAGATAGTATAATCTTGTCACTGAGCAACGCTTTTGTGAATAAAATAAAATTAAAAGTTTTTTTTTAAATGATCCAAGGGCCATCCATAAAGAGCGTCACCATTTTTTTAGCCAATTTTTGACCCGTCCCCCCTTTGTCACCGGTTGTTCTTTTTTCCCTATACCCCCTTGAAAAGGACGTCATAAAATCCTGAACCCCCCCCCCCTATTCCTAACTCCAAAAAAATTTATTTCATCTCGCAATGATGTTTGAATCTGCTGCTACACCTTTGAAAAATAAAATTAAAAATATTTTCATACATTATCTTCTTAAAAACACATGTTTACGTAGTTTTCCATGTTAAAATCCATAAAGTGACGTCCTTTTCTGACAACCTCCCCCTCCCCTTGTCCTTTTTTGTCCTTTTTAACTCGACTTTCTCCCCTCCCCCTATTTGGATGACGTCGTTTATGGATGGCCCCCTAGTTAAATAAAGAATTAAACATACAGAGGCTTAAAGAATAGGATGAGGATAACAATACGTCATTATAATCTTTTCATTTTTTTTTTGGTTGAAATCAATAATAATCTTATTGTTGTTATATATACTAATTATCTTATATTAAATCATAATGATTTATTAAATTTGAGTACAATTATTGAAAAGTATTATTAAGACATGATAGTTTGTCAATAAATTTTTAATATTCTTTTTAAAACGTCTTACTATTGTCTTTAAAGTAAATGAAAAAGAATTTCACATTTTTTGACTTGTAAAAACTACGTTATTTGGTATATATAAAATATATATAAATTATAAACTTGTACGCATTGTAGAAATATATTAAAAATATACACAAATTTATTATAGCTTATCATTTATCAGCGTGTATAAGTTTGATGGTATCAAGCCAATTTATCTACCAGAATGAATATTAATTGAACAGGCCATTTGTAAATAATCAGCAAAATATGTCGATTAAGTAATAATATATATAAAAAATAATAAAAAATCTAATGAATTTATTTGTATAATTACTGCAGTTAAACTCTTGCAGTTTGAACTTCTATAATTTCTAAATCGAACTTCTCAATCGAACTTCTAAATTAAACAAACTCTTTGTTTTTAAATATTAAACCCTGAAGTCTTTTCAATATTTAGGATTGAACTCCTATATTTCAAATACTATTGTAATTCGAACATGTTTTGACTTGAGTTAGATGAGTTTGACTATACTAACAAAATATTTTACTCGAAAAAAAATTACTTCAAACACAAAATTAAAATCTTGTCATTACCAACATTTTCAGTTGTTTAAAACCTTCAAAACCTGCTACAACTTACATTGGTAAAATATTTGTTAAATCAAGTAAAACACATGAATTCTCTAAACCTTCGACAGACCTTGACAATTGGATACGTAGTTTTTTGAATTCTCAGTCACGTTACTAGGTTTCATTACCTTGGTAGGGTGACTGAGAATCCGCTTATTGGAATAGAAAAAATATTTTAGTTTTCAAACATTATTTTAACTTATTCTATATTTTACAATTATGTAAAAGGTTATTACACAATAATAAAAGTTTATAAAAGATAAATTTATTGTTATGAATTCACACTTAACAACAAGTTGTAAAGAGTTGTACCAGTTGCGAAGTGACGACATAATTGATGGATTACGAAGTACAAGCCTTCAACTAAAGATAAAGTACGATCTCAACATGTAATACCACATAGCCTGAGCGCATCGTGCAGACTGTTGTTTTATTTTTAAATAATGTCAAAAAACGTAAGACATATTTTTGTATTTATTTTCAGTTTTGTTTTCTAAATTACCATTTTTATTTAAAAGCATTTACTCTTATTTAAATTTTTATTTTATTTTTTTTTTCATAAATTTGTGTTTAACTTTTGAATTCTCAGTCTTTTTTTAAATTAGAATTATTTAACTTTAACTCACGTTTACTTTAACTTAATTTTCTTTTGCTTAAACTTTAACAGTTATTCCTGTTTAAAAAATTTTGCGCAGTTTAATAGCTGACTTTAATACTTTTTTGTTTGAATTTTTAAAAATTCTTTTAGTGTT